CAAAATATTTAAAATATATCAGTGCGTTGATCTGCTTAAAATAATAAACTAAATAACCAAATCATTAGTAATGACAAAAAATCCATTCAGCAACAAAAGTATTCGGGCCTAACAGCGCTTAAAATAAATTCTTCATTATGTACTGGAGATATTAGAAAGATTATTTTTGAAGGAGTTTTTACAAAACTGATTTCAACAATTCAAATTTCAGGTCCAAGAAACGATGCGTACAAAGCGAAGCGAACGTATGCTTATTTATTTTTTTTGATTTATTCGATTTACCACAAACAGCTATGATCTTTAACCTCAGCGATTGATTATCTTTTGTTGCTTAATTGTCTTGCATGATATTATGTTTTCTTTTAACAAATCGTCCGTCCATCCACAGAATCGTTTCGAAACTTACCTAAATAAATGACAAACCAAGAAAATTTTAACAAAATGTATCTTTTTTTCCCGAAAAAATCCAATAAATCGGTATTCTTATAAAAAAATGAAAAAATCATGATCAAGATTTTAGTGAGTATCACTGCTCATTGTCCAGAAATTTGTTAAATAAATCTACAAGTGCAAACACGCTTATGTCCACCGTATCAGTACGCATGATCTTGCCACAGTCCACCTTCCCTATCCCCACTTGTCCTCTCTGCCAACTGTGTTTTCTTTTTTTAAACAAAAGTCTGCATTGTCATGAAAGATGCAAAAATTTTGTTTCTACGCTCGTAAAGTAAATTTTTCAAGACACAATTTGGTACCACAGGACTAAGAAGAAGGAATTTTACGGCAGTGGCAATGCAGGTCTCAGCGAATGCCTCATTTTAACAATTCTCGCTTCAAACAACTCCATTTATTTTACAATTCTTGCACTTAACAACCTCATTTTCACAATTCCAGCACTCAACTCATCCCATTCAATCGTCTTATCCCTCTGCTGCCTCTCTCGCAGAGAACTTTTCGTACAATTCATCAAGCACATATGGCGCAATTTCCGTCACAACTAACGTCATTTCCGACAAAATATAGTGCATTCACGTCAAAGTATGTTACGCTTCCTCTTAAATTTCTGCTTTATGTCCCAAAAACTTGCACACTCTTTTACGCTAAAAGATGCCATAATCGTCAGCGAATAACCGAAAGAAGCGTTGCAAAATCCAGTAACACTTGCGTCACTAAAAAGCGGGCGGGGAGGGAAATGAAG